GAAATGCAAGCTTATATATATATATATAAGCTAGTAGTAGCTTCATCATCTTGTGTGTAGCTTCATCAGTTAATCACTTCATCAGTATTCAGTGCTAACCCTGCAGCGATAAATAAATCCCTCACAGATATTCCATGTATATAAGTAGTTGATCGTATAATTGATATCACCCAATAATTTGCTTAAGGGACATATTATTTTAAATTGTTATGTGACTCAATTGTTACAATATTAAACAAACTACGTTGCTAAATTAGTTAGTCTGGATGTCGGTATTGTTTCCCTGCCCTGGCTCTAAAAATAAAAGCGTTAGTTGTACGTATTGTTTTACGTTTGCAGTGAATTTGCGTTTTAGTTAAATGCATTATATTTTTTGAAGCTGTGATACCGCGAAGGAACTTTCATTCTGCTAGTTTCTGCTATATATGTGGATAAGTGCCATTTTAGCCTAAAAATGTTCCATCAATCCTGTAGTGAAAACGACATATAATCTTTATTTCGGATGCAAAATTAAAGATCAGGACAATCCCTGGCCCCCACAATATGCTGTAATTCTTGTTCAAGGAAATTTTCTATGGGGTGCTAAAAGGTTCCACGAAGATGCCATAGCGACTTCGTTTCGCAATCGTCATGAACAATTTTAGCCATATTTTATACAGGGAAAAAACTTGTCAATGGCTAAAGACGGTTCCCGAAACAGAACATAATAGTCCGCAATGGCGGCTATTTATAGATTCATCCAAAACAAGTCCGAAATTAGTATTGCTGTAAATTTAAACAACTTCTATTCATTCCAGTCAGGCACCGGTTCTATAAAAGAAATTTATGGAAATTTGTATCATTGGTTTAACTGTCCTCAATATAGCAAGTATAGCTGTCGTATTTGTTGAGATTCAGAAGTGGTAGCTCTACTCATGCATCTTCTATTAGGACAACGAAGTACAGCAATTTTTTTTTTATGTGAGTAAGACAGGAGAGCCAACATATTGTACTATGTAAAAAGGTCTTCTACAAAAACATGTGATATCAAAATTAGTAATACACGGTTATTTTACTCACAGAGGAAAATTATTTTAAAATGTATTGTTAATTATTTATTGTCCTGCGTTATAAATATTATTTTTTTCTCATTACATCTCCATTATTCATCAAGCAAGGCATTTTATTTCTCGCTATTTTTTCTACACAGAAATATTTAAATAAAATTAAAAACTAAAAATATTCAAAAATACTAAAAATGGCTGTTATTTTAAAACAATTTTTGTCTGTAAAAATGATTTTTAAAACATTTTTGCATTGAAAACAAATTTCAAGAAAAATTGTCGGTGTCTAATGTTATACTGAAATTCATTTTCATAGAATGGATAAATATAATATTGGAAGGATGTTTGCTAAAGTTTATAGGAATATTAGCCAAACAAATCTATGGTTTCAGCACATGTTGAACGCTTATCAAACAAAATATACATTTTTTTTGTAAATATATACAAGGAATATTTAAATATACAGCTAGCTATTTTATTGTGAAAATGAAAGTAGTTGTTATGCAGATTTATGTTATTGAAATGAGCTATTGTAAATAACGATTTGTTGTTTTGTGCTAATGATTTCAATAGCACCTGTATAAACATAAATATATTCAAATAAAAATGTAGACGAAACAGGTTATATTTTATATAATTTTTTTAAAAATATGAAAAGGAAAGGAAAAAATGTTTATTTAAGATCGATTAAAGAAATTGATTTAATGTGATATAAATAATTCGCAATCATGCTTGATAGCTGCAACTTAAGCATGAAATTACTTTTATATTTTCTTCTTAGATTCCTCAACTAATGAAAAATTCAGAATTCCTATAGATAATTGAAGGGAATGGTTTTCACTCAATATTGGATAATTTTGGAGATTATATTATTATACAAGATATGTTATTTATGTTTATTATCATTAAGTTTTCCGGTTAAAATGAAAGCAAGCTCGAAAGTTGTTAAAAAATATGTCATAGTTGTTGCTTAGTAATAATAATAGTTATTGCTTAATGTAACGGTTATTACTTAGTGTAATAGCTATTGATTCGTAATTTCAATGTAAAATACCAAATAATAAATTGCGTTGGGGCATCGAAATTAATGAATCCCACGATTTAACTAAGATAACTCAATCTAACAAATGATTCATTTACATTATCAATGTCTTTTCCTATATAAGAAAGCTTAAAGACTGTTTCCAAATGATTACAAGAACAATAATTACATCTGCCTTTAATACATATATTACACAACAAATTACATAACTATACAAACATTTGTTGTTGTTGTTCTAATACAGCTGGCAATACAGAGTCAGTTAATCGTTATGCGATAAGCAAGGGCTGCACCGCTAGGCTGCACGTGTAGCTTTAAGATATGCTACGGACACAAGTAACCCTACCCGCACAACGCTCTTACTATACCGGGACCTACGGTTTAAAGTGGATTCCTAACCACTAAAAACATCCAGATTCGAACCCGAAACCTGTGGTTTTGAGCGCTAGCCACTCGGCCATCAGGACACGTATGTTAATATAATAATACTAATTACATTATAATATCTAATAGATAATAATTTTAATTACATTATAATATCTAATAGATAATAATACTAATTACATTATAATATCTAATAGATAATAATATTAATTACATTATAATATCTAATAGATAATAATACTAATTACATTATAATATCTAATAGATAATAAAAACAATTTTGTCACTGAAATTGACAATTTTATTTGAATAACATAGTTTGAGAATTATTGGACACTTAACAAAATTATGCAAATCAAAGGCAAGAAGAGAACGGGTATTAGAGAATTTTCATATATTAACTATTTTCCAAAGAAGTTCCATTAATTATTTTCTAAAGAAGTGGTTATTACAAAAAAAAAAAAATTCATTATATTTAATTTTAATGTTTTATTTATGTGTAATGTTTCTCAGGTTACATTTTTTTTCAATGTTATTGTAATTCGATACATCTTAATGTACTAATTATATTTAATGAAACTAATTACTCCAACATATTACCCTTAATGAGAAATAAACAAAAAAGATTTAAAACTAAAGAAAATATATAGAACAAAATCAAGAAAGTCAATTAATGTTGAACAATTTTTATTTTAATATAAGATTTTAATTTTAATTACTCGATTAAAATTTATTTTGAAAGATAATAATTATAATATTTATTCCCAAATTTTAGAATTATACATTTTATAGCTTTTATTTATTATATTTTTTTTATGAATTTTTTTAGCACTTAGTGTATTTATTACCCTTAAAATTTTAACATGAATTTAAAATAAAGCAAGAAAAAAGTCTGGAAAACACGTAAACTTAATTTCCCCCTTACTTTACCTTATTTAATTCTCTTGGTAATAATAAATTGAATTGATAATAATAAAAAATTGCATTAAAAAAGAATGAATATAAAGTTCAGTAGAAATAAAGAGGGGGGAATTAAGTTTAATTTCCTCGCTTTAATTCTCCTGAACTTTATTTATTCTTTTTAGAGTAACTTTTATGACTCAATTTGTAGTGTAGTGCTTGTGGTTTACATTTACTTCTTTTTAAAAATATAAGTACTATGGTAATTATCATACTAAGAAAATAAAAAAATCCGGAAAATGTGTAAACTTAATTTTATCCTTCTTACTTCATCTTACTTAATTCCCCGCTTTAATTCTCCTGAGATTTATTCATTCTTTTAAATGTATCTTTTGACTCAATTTGTGTTGTAGTGCTTGTGGTTTACAGTTACTGCTTTTAAAAAGATCTAGTCACCATGGCGATTGTGCAGAATATATAGCAGCATAGACATACTTTAGAAGCCAATTTTGTTAGCTAATTGCTTGTTTTTAACATGGATTTAAAATAAACTTTAAGCCACATCAATAAAAAAAATCTGGAAAATATGTAAACTTAATTTTCCCCCTACTTTAACTTACTTAATTCCCCCTCCCCTTACTGAAATTTAATTTCTTAATTCTCCTGAACTTTATACATTCTTTTCAATGTAACGTTTTTCTGACTCAATTTGTGGTGTAGTGCTTTTGGTTTACAGTTACTGAATTTTAAAAAAGATAAACACCATGCCAATAGTACAAAGTATCTTGCATATATTTTTTTGCTAATTGTTGGATTTTTATAGTTATTGCTTTGAAGAATAACTCGGTGTAAGTTATGCAGAGTGTCTCATGTCAATAATCAAAATACTTGCTTTCCAATACCACACAAACGCAAGATCTGGAATCAATTATCCCACTCTTTTTATGAGGATAATATAGCAGGTCTTCCATGTGGTAACGGCAAATTTCTACAAAATCTGCCGTATCAATGGATTTAGATCAATTACCTGGCTTTCAAGTGAGAATGATGAATTATAGTTACTTACAACCCACTCACGTTTTTTTGAACTGTTGCGAAATCTTTTCCTCCACCAACAAAGTTGGTCAGAACATCCTATTTGATTGGTAAACGCGAATATTTTCATCAATAGAATATTCACCCTTATTTTAAGCTTATTGTTTACTACAAATAATATAATTATTAATTTAATTTCTGATATTGATTTCATATTTTATGTAAATATCTGGACATAAACTTCAATGAGTGGCCTGATGGCCATTTCTTAGTAAGAAGACCTTTATGTTTACCACTTTTACCTTATGAATAGAATCAATTACAAACTTGATTGGGGCGTGACGGCCGAGTGTCTAGCACTATGGCGCTCGGTTCCACAGGTCCCGGCGGTACCATGGATGTTTGTAGTGGTTCGGAATCCACTTTAAACTCTAGGTTCCGGTCTAATATAACTGCAGAGCTTACTGCTACTACTACACCACACACCACATCACTGTGCCTAGAGCTGAGTTACCCCTTTTCAGTTTGGGAATGATGTTGGTAAGAAGTCTAATTTGGCTCTGTGATGCTCTGCGGTCATATTAGACCGGGACCTACGGCTTGAAGTGGATTCCGAACCACTACAAACATTCGGGTTTCGAACCCGAAACCTGTGGTACCAAGCACCAGAGTTCTAGCCACTCGGCCATCAGGCTCCCACTGTATAGCTTAGGACCTTATCCCGTAAAAAAAAGAAAACATCTCCCATCTCAAAATCTGCCAGTAGGCAGATGGCCTCGCCCCACCATGGTGCTTGGCAACTGGCTAGCGCTCTAGCTTTGGTATCCCAGTTTTCAAGTTCGAATCCTGGCGATGGCATAGATGTTTCTAAGTGTTTCGGAATCCCCTTTAAATTATAGGTCCTGGTCTATTTAACCTAAAGTGTGCACAAGATGACCGTAAAGCAACAAACCAAACCAAACCACCATGGGGCTGTTGTGCCAATGATGATGGTACTGATGAAACTTCAACAACTCCCGTTTCTATTTAAAGATTCATTACACGATTTTTATATTTTGCTCGGCATTAATTTTCTAAAGTTCAATGCTTCCACTATGTGTTTGTGCATACGTCATGCAACAAAATGGCGTGAAATATGCACCGCAATTTCGCATATAAAATATCCGCATCAAAAAGATTCCACATAACTAAATTCATTCTTTTCTTTTTTTTTTTATGCAAACTAGTATTAAATGGGCTTCAAAAAGGCCGCCCAACTTCTTTATACGAAACCGATCGACACGAGTAAAATTTCTTCTCGCTAGCTTCCACATTTTTTATCGCTGACACGTTTTGTCTACTAAATCATTCACTTCCTTTATCTTTTATCAGTCACATTATTTGAATTTCAAAATATTTAGTTCACAAGGAGGTTTGTCATTATTTTTTATTACATTGCAATTAAATCAATGATCTAAATTACATTTAAATCATTCATTTTGTTTATCTTTTATGATTCACATTACTTGAATTTCGAAATATTTAGTTCACAAGAAGGGTTGTTCTTATTTTTTATTACATTGCATTAATTTTAGTTTTCAACATCATTTTAAAGCATTTTCTAGCATTACAAATATTTATTACTTTTTTCATTAAAATATACTAAAAATTTTATATTGATTTGTAGTGCCTATTTATAATTATTAAAATGTTTCAACCTGTTGTGTTTCATATTTATAAATGTGGGATAATATATTTAAAAATTGATGACTCGTGTTTCAGTGGCAACGCGTGCCGCTGTTGAGCATTAGGGCTGAGGTACAATCCGTTGGTGGCTTTGTTGTAGACACTTTTTCAAAAAAACGAGGAGAATCGATGGCATTTGTGATTTTCAGCTTCTTGCCTCGTGAGTCGGACTACCTGGTTCCGTGTTTTCTCTCATAAAATACACAAATGCGGTACAGTCCCCCACCTCCTTAAAAATTTTTTTTTTTTTTTACTAGTTTCCGTTTTATAAATTTGTCGATTTATCAATTTTATATATTTTTTATATGAATTATTTGTTATAATGTGGCAAGTACTTCCATTTTGTTTGATTATTCACAAATGTAGTTATATATATATATGCAGATTTAGCCGCTTGCAAAAGATGCATCCCGGCCGAAACCCCATTTCTGTAGAGTTACACCGGTTTCAACAGATTCATCCCGGCCGAACCTACAGTTTTGTTAGACTTCTCTACCAGTCTAACCAAAGCTGAACTTTTGCAGTGGGTATCTAGAGGTGTATTTCCAAACACATCAACGAAGCGTTGTTTTCTCCCAACAACACATATTTAATGAAGCGCGGTTATATATACATCAATATTTACATTAATAATTATTACATAACAGCCATTATCTCTCGCTGCTTGACGCAGCCGTTGCAGTTTCGCCGTCTCTCTCGTGTCAGCTAGCGTTCCCCTTCTTCTTCATCTACGGGGATCTTGCCCCTTCTCCAGGGGTCAGAGTTCAAAGTTGAATACTCCCCCACATCGTAAACAGGCTCTGTCAAAGACAAGCGACCGTAAGGTGTTGCTATCTGGTGATTACGACTGAAACAAATAAATAATACATATATATTATAATTTTTTAAGGCATAAGCCTTATTCTTACACTGATGATGATCATTGCTTGCACTGCTTTCAGAAACGAGAAGACTCGATGACAATTGTGACAATTTTTGTTGCGTCTTGTTTCAATAGTCTGTCTGACTGATAGCAATTTTTTTTGTTTTTTCACTCATAAAACATGCGGGGCAGATACGATTGAAATTTTTCACTGAAAACAATGTCCTCCCCTTATCAGCCATCTCTAGCCTCTTTGAGGCATACATAAGTGGATCTCGAGGGCCACCCTTGTTCAAAAAAATTAAATTTTTATTTAATGTCAGTGGTATTGAGCAAGTTCATCAGGACCGAGCAGGATAGACCAAATAGGATTTCGTTAATCACAGTTGCTGATACATAAAAAACACTCAGAATTAAAAGTTAATAAAAATAAAGAAGACTTTGTTGACGAAGTAAAGAAAAAATTTGTAGATTCATCTACTAGAAATATTATTTGTTTTATTCTTATCGATATAAACATCTACATGAATATCTTATAACATATATATATGTATATACAAACCCCAAAACCAAAGTTCACATTTATATAAAGGTAATATAAATAGGGTTATAGATTTAATAAAATAGAAATGAAATTTATAGCAATTTGTCCTTTAATGAGAAATTTGATTTTTTTATATATATATATATATATATATATATAACTCTCTTTATAACCCCTTTATTTCGAATTTCAGAATTACCATGTTGGTGGTTTGTAATAAGTTTTTTCATATAGAATTTATTCATTTTAATTTAATTATAAATTTTCCTTGTATATATAACAATCTTGAATACAAACAAATTGGTAACTTCCATTTTATGTTAATAGAAAAACATTTCTCACCTATATTATTTAAAATCAGGATTTAATTAAAAAACTTAAAACACAATTAATTTTACATGAAGAAAATGGATTGATGACTTTTTTTGTCTATATAGTAGATGTGAAGTATAAACTAGCTAATTATTCCATTTTTATCTTAATATAGAAGCAATTTCTTCATGTATACGTGTATTAAATTCGTTAACCAGTAAACCAAATTTAATATTTAGATTGCAACTCATTTTTTACTTAATATAGAAAGAAAGGTATTCATCGCCAATATTGTTCTAGTTCGCACACTTCGCATGGTTGGAAAAAACGAAACCAAAAACGCTGCACTTGGCGACAAATCCGCTGCCACTTTTCTGGCAACCCTGTCCTTTTACATGCGCTCGCCGAAACGCTCGGAACTTCCCCATAATAGCGATCGTGTGCCAAAACAGAAGGATTCACTTCTGCCCACGTGACTCGCTCAGGTGCACAGCCGGCTTGTGAGGTGCTTTCCTTAGACCCAGCATTTGCATTCCTCCACCTTGTTTACCGCCGTCTGCCATCTGCGGCTCTCCAAAATGCTTTCACCCTAGACGACAGATGTGTGTCAGCGAGCTGTGTGGATTTAAACGAAAATTGATACCAACACACTCCTTCGAGAAAGTGACCCATAGGGGCGAAAACATCCTACCTGAAGAACGGCGGTGTCACCATGTGCCTGATATGTTTTGATGTGTGGTGTTGCTTACAGTAGTGCGTGGTTGAATGACCCCCATTTTGGATGGATAAATAATTATGTTTGTGTTTATTATGTCTGTGCACTGTGGAAAATATGAAGGATAACTATATTCACTTCTGGCCATCCAATTATTTTTGTTGTTGTTGCTGTTAGATATTGTGTCTACGACAGTTTTTTAGTGCAGTTATTTTATGTTATTTGTTTTTTTTTGGGGTGATAATTTTTTTTTCCCGTTTTAATTTTTGAAAAGTCAGTATTTTTTAAATTTATCATTAATATTATGTATTGAATAAACCATTTTTTTTTTTTTTATTGGTAAAGAAAAATCATTACAAACCTTTTTCTGTTTTTGTTTTGTTAACTTTATCATTCAGTTGTTTTTGTTTTTCTATGATTAGTATTATCGTCTTTCAAATTTTCACTTATTCTAGTTCGAATTTTTATCCCTACAATATTTTTGTACTGAACTTTCTCTGATGTTAAACTTTTGAAATTGATGTATGAATATAAAGCAGGCTTTATGGTTTACATAAAACATTCTTCATAGCGATATATATATATATTCTGGTTTTCTTTCCTTCTGTTCCACAGTTTTTGCTTGTACAAAACCGATTTGATAACAGATTTACTTGAAGGAATACCATTTAGATTATTGAATTAATCTTTAGAAGAACCTGAATTCGGATGATAACAACAACCTTGATTTTTCTTGACCGCAGATGGCACAGTTTAAAAGCGCCCCCGCATTTTGAAAAGCGGTTCAAAAAGGTAGACATATAAGGTCAAATGGCCTTCCTTGCACCTTCGGGCGTTAGTCGGAACCCCGAACCGTCTGGCCTCTCTGGTAAAAACCTCTTTTTCGAGCCTCTCTGTCCTCTATTTTCTTCTTTTTGTGTACTTCCTACAAGGATTGCTGGTCGCCAGAAATATAGGTAAAACGGGATTTATGATCCATCTTTTATTAGCTGTCTTTTTCTTTTTTTTTTTTCTATACCGAAGTTTTGACAGCTGTCGATTAACGACAACATGCCTGACTCATACTTAGGAATGATAAAGATATACTTGTTTATGTGACGGCGTGTTTACTTAGCTGCAATTAAAAGAGTTTGGTTTTTGACTTTGACTGTTTGCTATTATATATGTAAAATAATGTTTTCATTTTGTTAAATTTATCGTTCTTTTAAAATATATTTACGATATTTCTCGTTTGAGTTTATTACATTTTGATTTTATTATTATTATTTATTTTAAAAATCTTTGATTCTTATATTTGAATTGATTGTTAAGTTTTAAGCGAAATAAATATGCCCAATTGTAGAAGTTGCTAATACTTTTTTGACGAAAAACACTAACTTTTTGCTAACATTTCTATTTTTTTACGACGCAAATCGATTTATCTTTCCTAAACAATCTATTTCAACTGACTACAATTATAATTAATTTTACTGCAATATTTATTTAATTTTATTGTTTAAGGAAGGAAATTTTTCATTGTTTATTTTTACTTGAATTT